AGAGAGAGAGAGAGAGAGAGAGAGAGAGAGAGAGAGAGAGAGAGAAAGAGAGAGAGAGATCGCTCTGAGAGCGACAGAAAGAGGAAGAGAGCGAGAGAGAGAGAGAAAACACCACCACCTCGGTGTGCGTGTAGACGTGCGTGCGTGTGTGTACTCGTATAATTATATATGTACATGTATACACAGTCGGCGCGTACCACCTCGCGCGCGTGTGTATAATGCATATCGAGCGGTTATATTATATGCGCGCGCGCGCGCGCGCTCGGGCACCTAAACGAAAAGCCTAAATATACCGGGCGGCGTGTGGGGATCACGCCTATAGGCGACTATTTGAGCGATAAACAAGCGGGCGAGCGAGCGAGTGAGCACGCGCGCGCGCGCACCCCCGCGTGGGTGCTCGCTCGCTCGCTCGCTCGCTCGCTCGCGCGAGACCGGGGGTACCCGATGTGTCACGCGGCGAATGGTAAAATGTACACATATACCGGGTGGTACGCCTCCATTGTGCAGCCCGCCCCGTCGGTGTATCAATTGTGATTAGGGACAAAGATCCGACGAATTATTCCCGTTCCCGGTCTCTAATCTGATAGCCGTGGCGCTCGTGCGCGCACACGTCATTGCATCGATTGTTTCTGCATGTGGGAAATCATAAAGGGCAATGCGTTCCAAGTGTCTTCATTGTGCGATAATAATGAAACGCTAATCAAGTGTATCTGGGCGCCAGCGAGAGCCGTCCTCCCTCCTCTCTCCCGCCCGTCCGCCCCCGCATCAGCCCCCGTCGTCGCACTCCCCCGTCCCTCAGCCCTCGTCGCGACCCCCTCTGCATTAAGTGTACGCGTGTGTGTGGGCGGCAGTCCCTTTCCCGCGACCCCCGTCGACCCGCGGATTAATTACCGGCTCGGCGATGCTTAAATTATTTTCCTCCCGATCGAAACAAACTCACCTACGCGAAGCGAGTAACTCTATCTGCGTTAAGGGGATCGCCCGGATCGCCCATAAATCGAGAGCCATTCCATTATACGGACGATACGTATGTACTTTCGGCCTCTTCCGCCTCGCGAGAGCGAACGGACGAGATCGAACGCTCCCGCGATCAGCGTTCCGCGCTGAAAAATGCGGCTGTTTCTCTTTTTTTGCCTTATCGTGCCGCGCCATCGTCAATCTTGGATGGATCGCCGAAGGTAATTGAACGGCATATCAGCCGGGCGAGCTTTTTTTCTAGCCTGACCCCTTAGATCGTCAATCTCGAATTGGACGCGCCTGCGATATTCTGACGTGTGCGTATGTGTGTGTGTGTATGTATGTATGTATGCATATGCGCTACGCGTGCGATTACGCGAATTCGGCGCGGCGGATGGTTACGCGTTTCGACGTTGTAAAATTACGGTAAAAAGCATGCGCGATTTCTCTTGGTCGATCTTACGCGCTGCAACGAAGGCAATCAGAGTAACGTCGAATATTCTGTGACATCTTCCACTTTGAAAATTAGAAATATTTTCCACTGAAACTACTTTTTCCTTTCCTTTTTTTTATTTGCATACGACGGTTTACGAGAGAGAAAACCGCGTGTTATCGGAGGAACGAAGATAGTTTTGGAAGTGGGGTCTTTTACTTCCGGAACTGTTGGTCGACTTGGTCGACCCCGACTTCGACGGCGGGAGAATTAAAGAGGGTTGTTACTCGTGAACAAGAATCCGCGATGCGCTCGCAAACGTCTCATAAAAATGCTCGACCAGTCCGCGGAAGCTTTTACAGCTTCATCGAACTGTTCCTACGGCTGATGTGCTGTAATAGCATTCGGAAGGGAGAGAAGGAGAGTAGAGTGCAGAGCGTGAGAGAAAGAGAGAGAGAGAGAGCCGCACCCCAAGGGTTGAGGGATGAAAAACCGAGGGGTAGATGGACGAATCAATCGCAAACACGGGAGGGTTTCGGCGTTTCCAGCGATGGGTCACGACACTGGGTTACCGGGTGTGTGTGCGCGCACCCTCGAGCCCGCTATTTCGCTTCGCCCATTGAAATTCGGCTCGCGAGAATTCGCTGTCTCGCTCGCGAGGGCGCATTCGATGCGATGCGACTCGCGCAACAGTCGTCCGTCGATCGCACTCCCATTAAATTGGCCGACTTCCGCGTCCAGTGCCCCACTTTCATCGCTTTAATTTTTTACCTGTACATGTCGGGGTCGCGTCGTCTTTAGAGCTTGAAATTTGCCGCGTGGAAAGCGTTGTCAGACACTCCCGTATGCCTCGAGTGCTTTAACGAGCGAGAACAGTAAAGACTTTCTAACAAACGGCAGAAAAAGAAGTAGACGGTGGAATCAGAGTTTTTAACTGCCAACTGAACGGCCTAATGTAAAGGGATCTCAAGTCGCGACTGATAGTTGACAGGATATAGGTAGACGTTGAAGGAAGTTGCGAGATAAGCGCAATCACCGGTTAAATTACTTAAAGATTTCGTTGTTGGAGAACGAAAAAAACTAAGTTGATTAGAATAAAAGAACATTAAACATGAAGATTATATAAGAACCGTGCGCTAGAACTTGCGCTGAGAATAAGTACCACGCACAAATAGAACTTTATAAAGGAAAATTATTTACCGTAGCAGCAGTTCCAGTGTACGATACTTGTGGATCATTTATTTTTAGCTCTTTTTATATATCATAGAGTCTCTAATATTTCATATTAAGTCTAATCTACTCAATAGTTCTTGGACGCAAGGTGGCATTGAACGCACAACTCGATCGACTACACGCTCTCATTGGCGATTCTCGCGCGCGGAGTCGCGCGAGATTCGTTTTCACTCTCGTCGCGTAGCCGGTATCAATGGTATCGTCGGCGAAACCGGTTCGCGGGCCGACTTGCCAACCGAAAGGGACAGGATAGGGACACGCGCGGAGGCGCCGTGGTTCCGCGACCTCGTGCATTGTTCGTTCCCCCGTAATGTTCCTCCTATCGCGGATTATAAAACCCGACGATTCTATTCCGCGGGATATTGTTTGTCGTGTAAATATTACCGAAATACTTGGCGGGGTAGCCTGCGTGCCGCATGGTACACGCCACGTTGCGCGCGCGCGTGTATTGTGCGTGCGTGTGTGCATGTCGGACGAGCTTCCGATACGAGTTGCGAACTTTTGGGTTTCCATTTGGCGGCGCGTCCCGATTGGACGAATCGACATTGTCAGAGGGTCACCCCCTGGCACCCTTCGCGTCATCATTCCCCCCGCCGTCCCACGCTTCTCACCCCCTTACCGGACACGTCACGCACATTCGCGCGGACTTATGGGCATAATTCGTCGGTATTATTTGCGAGAGGGGTCGCTTCAACGATCCGCGCGCATTCGCTCGCTCGTTTAGCCGTCCGGGGCGCACGTGTATTAATCCACGGCGCGGTGCGTCGCGCTACTTTTGCACGCGTACATTTTCAGCTCGCGTGTTTGCCGTCGATCTTCTCCACTTTTCTTCCTTCCTCCCTCCCTGTTCTCTGTCGTAGCCCTCGCTCATCGCGAGATGCCCCTCGAGACCCGGTCGAACTGGGGGGCCACCACCTGACCTCGATTCCGAGTCGAGGGTTGCGGATATTGCGGCGGCTTTGACGAAAAAACGATTAAAATCTGCACGTGTAATTCGAGCCCGGATTTTAAATCAGGCGCGGGCGGGATGTTACTTTTTTCTTGTTTGTCTATTCATGAATTTCTATTTTATTAATGGGAAGAAGCTCTTTGTATATATATTGTATAAAAAAGAATAAACGATGTAACGAAAATTGAAACACGGCGCGTTTTACTTTTCACCCCGATTCACTTTGTGACGACTTTGTAGCATTTCAAAAGTTTGTTTTCACAATCCTGTTGAAACAAAGAAAAATAGTGCCCCCAGTGCGTGCAAATTACTGTTTATAGATCGAGAGGAGAGAGCGCATCGAATATCGCCGTGGAACTTTTGCGTCAAACTGCCACCGATTCCTCTTCTCTTCGTACGATTTTACCCCCGCGCGATGGGGAGAATTATTTCAGAATTTCCCTGCTACACGCGACGACACGACGCGTTCGACGCGTCGAGAAGCTCTCGTTGCTCCTCACTCGGCGCATTTAACAGTCGCTCGGGAACGACAGTAAGACGTTAACGTTTCTATTCCTTTTTCAGACTGTTCGCGAGCAGCAGACACGGAAACAGCGGGCAATTACAAGCATGCGATCCCGGCTTGGCGAGCGAGGACGAAGAGGAGGAGGCGGAGAAGGAGAGAGGATCGCGGAAAGAGAAAGAGAAAGGGGATGGTACTCGCAGAAGAAGTGCACAGCCGCCAATCACGAGGTGTCAGCGGCGGCAGGCTGTCATTAGGCGATTAAATTCCCGTAGCAGCCGATCTGTCTTCGTTCGCGTAAATCTTCATCAAGTTTCGATTTTCCGCGCGTTTCGGGCCGGTGCGGGACGGAACGGGACGGGACGAGGCGAGGCGAGGCGAGACGAGGGCGAAGTGAGGTGGACGAGGCGAACTGCGCGAGCGGCGACGACGGCGTCTCCGCAGCGGAGGGCGAAAAGCACCGTCACCACGACGGTGATCAATAATACATCAAAGAATAACGGCGAGAATATCGGGAACGAACGGGCCGAACGGCCGAGCGTCGCGACAGCTAAAGCTAATACTACGGGACGTAGTCTCGCCGACGATGGAAAATATTACAATACGACAAATTTTCCGAAACGAACTTGTGCAGTCGGTCTCGCGACATCCGAGAATGCCTGTTGTTTCGTGACCGTTTTATTTCAACGGAATGTTACTCATCGAGGCGATCACGCTTGTGAACGAGAATCGTTTTGGGCAAAATGCGCAGTCAGTGTGTGTGTGGTAAAAGAGTTACAACACTTTTGCCTCGATGAATTTTAAAATGCATTCAATATACAATTCCACATTATAGCAAAAATGTCCAAGATACATCATAGAGATATCTTACAGATAATATTATCACGATATTTTTAGGATATCTGTATGATGGACATTTCTGCCATGTATGGGATATAGGGAAATTTATGTCTTAGGAATTATTTGGAGATAAGTTCTAATGAATATCGAAAGTACACACAACATTCTGAAATTCATTGAGTTAAATGCATCGCGATTTGTTTTTAGCTGACTGTTACATAGATGTTACATAGATAGATACATAAATAATTATATAATTAGAGAAAAAGATCCATCGAAACAGCACAAATTGAGTTAAGGAGATGCTGGAGTCGAAATTTTATCGGCAGAGTATTGACTTTTTTCTGCAGAATTTATCTTGTATTGATTATCCAGACAAATGCTCTTACACAACAAAAATACGTGCAAAAGTGAAATAAAGCTTAAATGTGTGCTTAATACAAATTGACAGAAAATGATAAAAAATTTCAAAGTTGATATTTCGAGTGTAAATTAGCCTGCTAGACGCTATCATTTAAAACAAGTATTGACTTGATATAAAAGATATTGATATGAAAATCTGGTATAAAAGTAGCTTACATTGAATGCGCGAGTTTGCTCCGTTCAGAAAAACTTTGAAGAGCATTGCTTTACATCTGATTTTAATAAAGTTTAAAAATATCGGAAAAATTGGAAAATATTTCTACATATATGCATGGTGAGTTTTCCCCTTAAATACAGTAAAACAAAGCAACACATTTACATAAGATTATGTATAAGAAACATGAAAAAGATAGTATTGTATTAGTGGCGATCATTTCTATCGATATAAATATTTCTAGAGTTTGTCATCGACGCCAACATTCCTTTAAACGAGTTCGATTTCAGAATTTTATATGGAAAACTAGTTGCCCCAAGTTTTTCAGCGAAATATCGGTGTTCCTTCAATCTACGGCTTATGTAAAACACTATTTCATTCAATGAAGCGACCATAAAGCTAACTCAACACACTTTATTGTTCGTATACAATTGTGATCTACTTAATTCTCTATCAAAGATATAATTACTCATATTATGCGATTACAAAAACCTTGTGATACTTGGAAAGAACACTTGAATCGTACATACAATTGCACGTTTCGTTAACCTTTTTACCGTCAACTACATTTTATAATTCAAATTCTTAGGTCAGATTACTGACTCGACACGACTCTCAGTCTTATTCAAATACAATTTCTGCGACAAAATTGTTTAAATCCGAAACTTAATTCTTTCTACCCGTATTTTTTATTTTAGAAAATTCTATATTTCGCGAACGACATTTTGCCGTCCACTGTGTGACTCACGCAAAAGTAGATTAACGCACTTGTAGATTTGTAATTACATATTAATGTGCCCTTCGGAAAGAGTGCGCTCTCAAGGTAATTCTGATTTGGCGGCGAAAGAAGACCGCCATGGATATATCTCCAGTATTTCTCATACCGCGGAATAATATTGCTCGTTCGCGTTTCAAGATACACGAGCGGGTGGTGGACTCCGCGCGAAACTTTCGCCGCGGAATAATCGAGTTCGCGAAAGAGCGCAACCGTTAAAATATCTCTCGCGATTGCGATATATAAAACACAAACTGTGCATCGAATTAATGACGGAAGTTACTTGGCATTATTAACTCAGATAATTACGTCAGAGTCCTCCAGTATTTTTCTAAACGCACACAAGTCGGGTTACGACCTGTTTTATCATAAAAACGATTTAATTACGATTTATATTAAATCGGCGAAGTAGAATTTACACACACAAACAAGCTATTCGCACGTGCATGTGCGTATGTGTGGCAATACTTATGAATATTATGAATATGAACTTATGAATAAAGATATAAACAATAGTATAGACAATAGTTTGCGGAAGTTATACGCGAGAAATCCTATGTATTCTATTGTAAAATATAGCCACGTGCTATGTTTAATTATTAGTAATTTATGACAACGTATTCATTTTCCGCTACCTTCAACTTAGGACCTTTTATAATTCATATAAGAAATCAAATATCATTTCCTTTTTCTAACAACACATGCGGAACAAAATTCAAGTTACATACGTATGGCCGTGCGAAAAATGACGTCGTGCCATTTCGAAAGCGACGTTCCTCCAATCGGATCGAAAACTTCCAGCTAGAAGCTGTAGTTTATTGTCGGCCGTCACTTTTATAAATTTCCGGTATTATAAATATCGTTGCAATCGAATTTTCGGATAAATTAGCTCAAAGCTCGCCGATTATATATACACGCTAACGAATTTTAGCAGTAATAGAATAGTGTCGCGTTCTGTCGTCTATTTGCATCCCTAAAACTCGACTTGCTGCAACCCCTCGCGCATGCTCTTTCTCCCTCCATCCCCTTTACTTCTAATCTATGTTGGCTAACGCATTAAAACCTAACTTTCTAACTCTCCTTCTCCCTCTTTCTATTACCGACTAAAGGCGACATCGTATCGCGCACACACGCATCCCCGGCGTAATTTACGAGATCCACCTTCGCTGGTCGGGTAGGTCGATCGATCGATTCGGCGCGTCGCGCGCGCGATTCGCGAGCACAAGAAGAAGCGTGGCACGCACACACACACACATACACACGAAGCGTGTTTGCGCAGCGATCGCTTAAAAAGGCGTGTCCCTGATCGCACACGGCAATCACCAGCGAAGATTGCGCGGTTTCCAATTGCGCGTATTGAAAACGTCCAACAAACCGTGGACGCGCGCGCCCGCGTTCCCCATGTCGTTTCGCTATCTCTTTCTCTCTTTCTCTCCCTCTCCCTCGGCGGGCTGAGCCGAGGGGGAGATATCCCGGCGTCTATAATATTAAAGGCAAATATCCTTGAACGCTCGGTCATTAGAGCGAGCGATGCGAGTCCCCGGCCTCGGCGTACTCACTCCCGCAATGACACGGTACGGCGTGCGTCTTAAGTAAATTCCATGGCACGCACTCCTCACAGGGAACGAGAAAAATTCATGCCTGTCCTCCGTCGGCCAAGGTCTCGTTTCCTGTTCCGGCGCGTAGAGTAAAATACCGGCCGGAAAACGCGCGAGAAAGGGGGAGTGTACCGCCGCGGAGAGAAACCGCACGCCAAGACGCACACCACGTGTCGCCCTATATAGGATTCAGGACGCAGGAGATTGGGGAGATACAAGGGGGACGACGAGGGGCGAGGATAGTAGAGAGTCCGCCGCTGTTTATTAGACTGTCGTGTTTCTCTCCTCTCTCTCTCTCTCTCTCTCTCTCTCTCTCTCTCTCTCTCTCTCTCTCTCTCTCTCT